TAAACTTATTATTATTATTACAGAAATCAATGGAATAGAAAGTGTCATCTTGATATGAGCAAATTCTGGATGAATGGATGGATATTACATACTTGCATTTAATGTAGTGCCCAAAGGTTTCCCAAATGATTGCAGACCTCTGTGACCTTTTGGTATCTCTAATACTCTGGTGAAAAGAAGACTATAGTATTAAGGGGGTAATGAGGAAGGTACCTGCTTTCAGGGGAAAAGGTTTACTCACTGCATAATCAGGCCACTTATATATTTGAAACCAATTTGGGATTGGCATTTATGTCCCTAATTAAACTGGCATGAAATCCTTGCAGCTGGTAACATGCCAGACTAGCAGATTGCTAGGCTGAGAGCTAGGCCAAGAGTATGCCTTGGTTTGGGATGAAATTTCTAAGCTTGATAACTGGAATTTTGCATGCGAAAGATTTTGAAAAATGTTTGTTTCTGTTTTGGAACGTGAAAACTACAAAAAGGAAATGCTATTTGGTCTATGATGAGTACAGTGTAAAGTCTGACTGTCCAACTACTATGGAAGTCACATTTCATAAATGATAGGACAGATGTTTTAAGTAAAATATATGCTCCATCTCAACCACTGTTAATGTAGTTAATGTTTTTTTTCTTATAGAGAGATTGCTGCTTATACCAGTTAGATGATTAAATAGTATTTCTAATTGCCCTATTTTGTCCCTGAAGAGAAACATGTCTTTTCTACTGGTTACTATGCCATGTGTACTTATCGGCAGTGGTTGTGCCATTACTAATATTAAGCATCTTTGCTTCCAAAATTATTCCAGTTTCAGAGTTTTCCATCATTTTTTTTTTTGAAATAATAATTCTTCACAGGATTACTTAGTTACTCTGGCTGCCTAATAATGAAATATTAATCTAGGAGTTCCCCTCAGGTTCCCCCACAGACCTGCCAATTAGGGCAAGCAAAAGAGTGATCATCCTAATTAGTAACCCTCTCCTCCAGTGGTGGGTTTCAAAATTTTTTACTACTGGTTCTGTGGATGTGGCTTGGTGGGTGTGGCATGGCTTGGTGGGTGTGGCTTGGTGGGCGTGGCAGGGGAAGGATACTGTAAAATCTCCATTCCCAATCCACTGCAGGGGAAGGTTACTGCAAAATCCCCATTTCCTCCCTTATCAGCTGGGACTTGGGAGGCAAAGAATAGATGGGGGTGGGGCCAGTCAGAATTTTTACTACCATTCTCCAAACTACTCAAAATTTCCACTACCGGTTTTCCAGAACTGGTCAGAACCTGCTGAAACCCATCTCTGCTCTCCTCCCTCTTCCTTAAATGCCTGTTGAATGACTGGGTTAAGATGAGTGGCTACAGAAATCTATAAATAAATGTCAAAGGTGAAGAATTCTGGAGATGCACTCCTTAATATCTCAAAAGCATCAGGTAATGATATCCTGGTTGTGGGCGGGGAGAGACAGAATGGGGGAAGCAGAACCCTCATTAATTAGTTTTAATATATACTTTATACTTGTTTAAAGGCACTTGAAACTTGTCTTCAGGTTGTATTGTCATTGTAATGTATTGTTGCTGGAATAGAACAATGAAGTTAAACAGAGTACTTTCTTAGTATTTGTAGATTATGATTTATACCTCCTCTTCAAAAACTAAATATCCTCCCCCTCCAAATAAACAATGCCCCCTCCCTTCAAACAGTTGCTGTTGCTTGCTTTTATTCTGCCACAGAAACCTCAGTCTTGCAGAGTTCTTCCCGAAAAAGAAGGGAGATGAGAGTACATTTTATATCTCATGGACGTCCATGTGAATGACCCTGACCCATCTTTATTTGCCTACAGCAGTTGTGATTGGATTGCAAGAAGTCCTACAAGCAGGTCTATTCAGCACTGTCCTGCCAATTACAAAATAAATGGAAAGGAAACAGGCTTTCATTGCTAGCAAAGCAGAAAAGTGATAAGAGGAGCAGGTGGCAGCTATGGCCAGGAGAGCCTTTGTACAACTTCAACTGGGTGTGCCAGTTGCATCCTTTCCTGGTCATTCATGCCTGAATCACCTCCCAGTTGGGCTACTGCAATGTGCTCTATATGAGTTTCCCTTGAAGACTGGTCAGAAACTTCCATTGGTCCAGTGTGCCCACACACACATTGTCCCGCAGCAAATGCTCCTTTAAATATTACAAATATTTAAAGAATAGAGAAAGAATAAAGAAAAAATAAAGAAAAAAATTGTTTATTAAATTTATATCCTGTTATTATTCCAACAGCACCAGGATGCTCATCGTAATCTTCTCAGAACATGGTATTAACATTAGGGGATGATGATGATTGCTATCTATTGTTTTTAATGTCTTTTTAGCCACCTGTAGTCTCTTTGGCAAAAGAATGAATATATGAATTTGATAAAAAAAATAAATGTTCTCTTTTGACATCAATGTCAAAATCAATCTTTTCACTAATGCTAATCAGAAGAGTATGAATTTTAAATCACATGTCAGCTAAATCAGCCAGTAGTTAAGTGGAGGAAATAGTACCCACCCACCCACCTACTGAGCAAAATTAGGCAATCAGCACTAATTTTTCCTGAATAAATAAATAAATAGCTCATTTTCCCCTTGTTCCCTGACACCTATCAATTCAAATGCAGATAAATGGAAAACAAAGGATTAAAGAGAAGTTTTTAAAAAGTTTCTCTTTCCTCACCTACACACAATCCATAGATTTTCCTCTATGAGTTTGCGAGCATTTATTGCTTTGCAAAGCATTGTCAAGATGGTCTGCTCTGTAGGTGGGTGTGATGCTTAGGTTATCTCAGGGAACTGCAGCAAATGTTGAGAACACAGACTCAGCGTCTTCTCTTCATGAAAGCAAATCAGCAGTGCTAGGAAAGTGTATTTTCAGTAGAAATCTTGTGAGTGTGGCATTGTTGCTGGCTTTCATGCTCCGTACTCTGGGTTTAATTGGGAAAACATCAAATGAGAGATTGAGGGTATAACGGATGGTCTATCGAATCAGCAGATGCCAGCAGATGCTGGAAGGACTCAAGCTTGCTCAGAGCAGAAATGAGAGGAAAATGGAAACAATTTCATGTATAAAGAACACTGACTAAATGTAATAATTAAGATTTTACAGCATGTTATTGTTAGAATATTTTATTCTAAATCTATTTGAGAGCTGAGGTCAAGAAAGCAGGCAGATGCATCAAATTAAGTTCTTTATTCTTCACCTAAGAACAATGACAATAAGTTGTTAGGTGGTCATCCACAAAGGCCCCCTTCTTCCAGCACAGATTGTATACATTACAATCAGCTCCTCCTTTACAATATCACTCCCTTACTCATTTACCCAATTCCATTCTCATACCATCCTTTTTCCCATGCCAGGGCCTCCAGGTTTTCTTAAAATAAAGGTAAAGATTTCCCTTGTCCAGTTGTGTCTGACTCTAGGGGGGCAGTGCTTATCTCTGTTTCTTAGCCGAGGGAGCCATCATTGTCTGGAGACATTTCTGTGGTCATGTGGCCAGCATAACTATATGCCGAGGTTCATGGAAGGGTCCAGGACAACTTGATGCAGCGAATTTGGTACGGGCAACTCATCAAGGCCAACTCAGCACGGCCAATTCACCATATGACAACTTGCCACAGGACAAGTGGGAAGTGGAATGGCGTTACCTTCCCACTGAGATGGTACCTATTTATCTGCTTAATGTCTATGGAGATTCTCAGTCATCCAGGTCATGGTTGTCCCAAAGGTGCTTTTTTCAAAAGGCAAGTGAACTTTCTGGTTTTTCCTTTCTGAAGACGTTTACTTCTCATCAAAGAAGCTTTTTCAGATCTGAAAAGTTGCCTCTTTGAAAAAGCACCTTTGGGATATTTATCTGCTTGCATTTGCATGCTTTCAAACAGCTAGGTGGACAGGAACTGGGGCAAATAACAGACACTCACCCTGTCACACAGAACTCAGGTCTCAGCTTTGCAGCTGACAAGCTCAGTGTCTTTAACCACATTTATCTAATGAAAAGCTATCCTTGGAACATACCCCTTATCTCACCTCAACAGATAAACTACTTTCAAGGCCTAAGAACAGTGAAAAGTAAGAAAGCCAACAAATCTTAAAGAAAAGCAGAGACACGGTTTCTGAGCCTTCCTAGGAGTGTAAGTGCTAATATCATAAAAAAATATTCTAATTTACCCAGGCTTATTTGCCAGATGTAGTCAAAAAAACAAATCAAGATGGTGGCTACAATGATACAATTGAAGTTGTGCCTGTTTTTATGTGTAATGCACATGCAGCCACCATCTTGAGTTTTGAACAAGATGCAGACACTCCTATCACTACTTTCTACTGGAAATATACATGCATAAGTATGGGTATTACCTATATGTGGAGTAACTTGTAATTTACATGTTTGAAAAAGGAGATAGATTTACAGCTGATAACTATAATGTGATATACTGTATATAATACAACAGAAATAGTTTAGTTTTGCATTCAATCTCAGCTCATTTTGGGTTACCATATTATTGTTGATTTGAATTGTATTAGAATTCCTGACTGCATCTATCAACATTTAGCTTATAGAGCATTTCTGTGTATGTCTGCTTACTAAGAACCACTGTTCTCAATTACAGGATTTACTCCTAGGTAAATATCTCTAGGCTTGTAACCTTAGATCATTCAGACACTGGAGCTTGCTATTTCAATCAGATAATCCATTCTTCTTAAGCCAGCTAGTTTCCAGTTCTTTTGTGAGTGAGTTGGTGGATATGCCTAACGTATAGCAATTACCGATCATTCGGGTGAAAACTAAATGAAACTGCTACTCTGAGGCACACAAATCAGATTGCACAAATTGCCTTAGGTCTGCTGAATCTTAAACAGATGGGCAGCTGTGTGTGATTCTTTGCCTACACACAGCCTCTAAAGAAAATCCTTGGGGCAGAAACCAGACGGCAAAGAGCAACATTTGCGTGTCAAGGAGCACACTCTCTTTGGAGAGAAACTCTGGTGAATATGGCAAAAGACAATGCTGGATTCCAAATTAATTTCCTTAGCAAGAAAGTGCTTACAAATAGTTCATTGTTGGATGAAGAGAGGGTGAGTGTTTTTGAAAGGGAAAATAAAATAAATGTGAACCCCTCCTTGGTTAACTGTAGAAGGTAAAAGAAGAGCAGTATGTTAGAGAAATTCATGTATAAAAGATTTCAGATTATTTATAAATATATTATTTAATATATTGTTACTATGTTTATTTACCTGGTGATTGGACAAGCTGAGAATGAATGTAATTATGTTCTTGTTTATTTTTATTTGTTCCATAAAACCATTTAAATCTTCTAAAGGTATTCAATCTGACTAACAATAAAAGCTAACATAAAAAAAAACACACCACCAATTTAAGGTTGTTTTTTTTTTTTTAGTTTAGCATTATCTTGGAAAGTTTATAAATATAATCAGCTAGTCACATTTACTCTTGAACTTTTTCAACATTTTTTTTCCTAATCAAGTCATGTATTGATGGACTGAGAAAATAGCTCCCAGGATTTCTAGTGACATAGCATGCTTAGCTAATGTTTTCCATTGTAAGTAAATACAAAAAAGTTCCTAAACTCTTGATTTTTCTTTTTCAGGAAGAAACCTAATTCACAATCACATAATTGCATAGAAAACCAAATGATGCTCTGTATGTCTCTGACTATAATATTCAGATTCCAACATGGCTTTTTCCAAAATGTTCAGAATCTGGTTTGGGGCATCAGAGATATTCTTAAGAATTCTTTTGCAATCTCCTCCCTTATTTGTTTAGTTTAAAAGCGAACCTTGATTTGTAAACACTGACAACTAATAATGAACATTTGGCAATAAAGAATTGATACTTAGAATATCTATGAAGGATCTCCGCCATCAAAACTGATAAGGCTTCTTGAATGAGAAGTGAAACATAGATAGCTCAAGTGGCTGAGCTTGTCGATCCGAAAGGTCGGCAGTTCGGCGGTTCGGATCCCTAGTCCAGGTCTCCTGCGTGAGCAGAGGGTTGGACTAAATGACCTCCAAGGTCCCTTCCAACTCCGTTACTGTTAATTTCTTCTTCCTCCTCAAGGAAAAACAGTCCAGTTGTCTTTTAAAGGGGAAAAAAAAGCACCTTTGAGACAACTAAGACCTGGATGACTGAGAATCTCCACAGACATATGAAGGCATATATTGCATGTCAGATAGAAAAACTGTGCGCCTAGTTCAAATAAAAGCTAGAAATGAGAGATTTGGGGCCATTTTGCTCTGAAAGAAATTTACACTAGACACAGAAAACTGTGCTGGCTATTCTATTAACCTATTTAATCTTCAAGGGGAAGTTGCTTGAACGACTAGGGGCAGTTTGGCTTCTTCTGATATGCTCTGTTGTTTTAAACTGTTTTTTAATAGCACTTCTCATTTCTGGATATTTGGAATGTGCTTACTGCTGTTTTACTTATTATTTTCTTTTAAATCACTCTGACATTTTTGACGATGAAAGCTGCGGTATAGCTATGTTTAAAACATTTGCATTCAATAGATTAAAAAGAACAATTATTTGATCTGGCCTTCTCTTATATGCTATTTCATCTCAAATATATGGAGTGTTTTTCTTGCAATGAATAAATCTCATCTCCTTCAAAATGAAAAACCAAGAGTGAAAGTAATTGCAGTGTATTGGGTTAATAGTGTTGTTGGTTGATTAAGCATTCCTGTGATCTTGCATTGTTGCTTGATTGCTTTGGGTTGCCTGTATGACACTTGGTTTGCAGGAGTCAACTTTTATAGAACAGTTTTTCCCCAATCTGATCAACTTCCAGATAGCTAGACTTCAAAACTCAGAATTCTTAGCCAACATTGCCACGGCTGAGAATTCTGAGAGTTGAAGTCCATATATATCTGAATATTGCACATTTGATGAAGGACTAAATAAGAGATTGAGAGCTTGGCTAGTCTGTGGAATTTTGAGTAAAAGCAAACATGATTAAGCTTATAACAGCATATAGAGAGTAATAGATTAAAATGAGCTGTGCTACTGTTGTGGCAGAGGTTCGTGCATGATTCAGTGTAGATCTAAAGGAGAAACCTGCAGGAAATGCAGTAAGAATGGGAAGCCTATTGCTCAGGGAACAACAAGTCATCTGCTACAGATAAAAAAATTAAGCTCTTATTTTAAAATGCTACTATAGAGTGTGCCACTGATGAAAAAATGAAACTGAACCAATGATAATTTGGAAACCTATACCACTAAAGCAGTGGTGGGTTTCAAATTTTTTTTACTACCGGTTCTGTGGGTGTGGCTTAGTGAGCATGGCATGGCTTGGTGGGTGTGGCTTGGGCATAGCAAGGGAAGGATACTGTAAAATCTCCATTCCCACCCCATTTGGGGGAAGGATACTGTAAAATCTCCATTCCCACCCCACTCCAGGGGAAGGATATTGCAAAATCCCCATTTCCTCCCAATCAGCTGGGACTTGGGAGGCAGAGAATAGATGGGGGTGGGACCAGTCAGAATTTTTACTACCAGTTCTCCAGAAGTGGTCAGAACCTGCTGAAACCCACCTCTGCATTAAAAGTAAAATGAGACCAGTAGTATGATTCACAGTAGAAGTGAATTGGCAAAAGCATATCAATGCAGATGAACATTGTTTCGGCTATATATTCAATTATATCACAATTGTGAATCTGAGCAGAATATCACAGATGTTAAATTAAAACCAAGAGAAATACAATTAAAAACTTACATTGAAAAACAGAGAACTTCCATGGAGTAATACAGTACCTGTTGCAAAATATAACAGCCAGCAAGGGAGATTGGACTGATAAGTTATGAAAAAAAAAGCTAAACCAGCACTTGATTTGTGATTGGCTGAGGAAGCTGCCATGGACTGGGATTCAATCAGCAGCCTGTGCACTAAATTTCTTATTGTGGAGACCACTGGGAGTAGAGTAATACAAGTATTAGATGCTGTGTCTGTGTTCAGAGATGGCACTGGCACTTTAATGGTAAAATAAATTTACGGGGAAATGCCACACCTAAGTTTCATATGTCCAGGTGCATATACCATATGGAGACAGGGAGAGATTGAATAGGATTGGATGAAAACTCAGGGAATTCGTTCAAAGGCTGACTGGAGCACATGGGTTGTATCTGTGATTCTTGTAAAAAGAATGGAACTGTTCAAATCTGTTGGAATTTAACATTACCATCAATCTTCTCTTGGAGGCTAAGCAATAGCCTTGGTCTAGAGTGGAGAATATTTTTTTCCTACATTGGATGAGGGACAGTATTTCAGAAAAATAGACATTGCAAGAGGCTTACTTGCACTTAGAAATGGAAAAAAATTCCAAGGTGTTTCACATCATAAATACACAAAAAGTTGTATTATTATAATAGATTGGTGTTTGGAGACATTTCTGCCCTAGCAATTTGTAGCAAGTGCTACAAGGTTGTCCAGGCTCCTAGTATAATTTTGAAGACATCACCATCACCAGAGAAAATGTATTGGCCAAAAACCTCAGTGCAGGTGACAAAGGTTAAAGAACAGTGCAATAAATGTGAATTTTTAGAAAGTCTAGTATTACATATCACAGACACACCATTGAAAGCTTACATGAGGCCACATGGCATGTCACAGCTATGATGCTCTTTAAGATTTGTTAATTATTGTAATCAATTCCTGCTAAACTTGGCCATTGTACCCCATCCCCTTAACATTCGTCTACAAGTGGGTAGGGCATGGTGATAGACAAAACTGAAAAATTTCCATATGAAAAACCAGTGACATCAGACATGGGATTCACACCTTATAAGCCACATTTGTCAGTGAATACAGCTCTGGATACATTACAATAAGGCACCGGCTCAGTTATGTCACCTATTAAGAAAGTTAGCAGGAACATCAAAAGATCTTTGCATTAGGCATGTTAAAAGGTGTAAAAAAAAAAGATTTGCATGAATAGGAACACACTGAGATTGTTTGAGAAGCCAAAGGCTTCAACCAACACTTTTATATAAAGGTATTTATTCTCATCACTGATCATCAGCCACTACTGCCAGTTTTCAGTCTGCAAAAAAAGATTCTTCTTATAGCAGCTGTTCAAATCCAGCATTTGTCTTTGTTCCTTGGGGATACAGCTACAAAGTGGAATTCAAAAGGACACTCAATCATGCAGATGTAGATAGATGGCCTCATTTACTTCTATAGGTTAACAATCTGAAACAATCACATCAAATGGGTTTCTTTTGATATGTTTTCTCTTACATAGATCTGGATAGCTGAGATTATTCAGGAAGATTCTAGTAATAGCACTATACACTGTCTCAAGTTTATATGCCACCTAAAATGGCTATATTACACAGCAAAATAATTATACTAATGGTCAAACCTAATCTGAGAAGCATCTGAACAGTTGAAACAAGCTGCGCAATCTGACAGTGAAACAACATTTTTCCACTGAACAAAATATAGCCATAAACTCTAGAGGGGAATATAAGTGGATTATCAGAAAAGAGCAAAGACAAAACTGAAGCGCTTATATTGTACAGATTGCTCCTGATAACATTTTGAAGTAAATATTGACCAACTAAGGAGAACAGAAGTACGGAAATAAAAGACTGTGGCTGGTGTGATTGTGACAAAGCTGTAATTCCTGAGATACAAACAGTAAGATCTACCCTCTCCCCTGAAGTATACACACAACTGGTGGCTTCTCCGTGGATATCAGTACTGGTTGTTGTGACAGATGTTATCCCGTTTCCATAGGAATTCCACCACAGTGCATTGTAAGAATGTTTCCTCATCTAGATGGGAAGGGGGCAGACTGCATTAGGTTATTCTCATTAGTTGCTTAAGCCTGCCTTTGATCTAGTATTGTTGCTTAATTGCCTTGAACTGCCTGGGTATGTTACAACTATTGCAGGCTATATGGGAGTTAGTTCATCTGGAAGTTTTCAGGAATGCAAGCAGCTGTAAAATCTGCTCGTGACTCCAGTGTCTTTGTCTGATCAGCAGAAAAAAAGGCACAACCGTGATATTTTAAAGAACTTTGAACAGAAATGGTGAAGAATAATCATGGGTGATATT